GTGTTCGACACACACCTCAAGGACCATGCTCCCGAAGTGTGATTAATTACGCCACATTTGTGTTCTTCATAGGCTGTCTCCACTGTGGCCACGTTCGTGCCGTGCCGTGACGTTCAGGTGTCTTGGCTTTCTGCCCGCTGTGCGCTCGCCTTGACTTCACTCATGTTGTTAACTGCTCTTATTACAACTTATTCTACTTATGCGCTCCTTGTTTGTCAACAACAACAGCAGCAACAAATGTAAGGATACAAAAAAGTGAAAAAAAGTAACCCAACCTGTAACCGAGTCCTTGTGGCAGCCAGCACTCCAAGTTAAAGGTGCATTTACATCGGGGCAAAACTCTTTATTTTTAACTTTTGGCCACAAACGTATGTGTATGTGGGGTACATACGTATATTTTTCTATATTTTCTTTTTGGGTTATATATTTTTTTCTTTTTTTTTTGGATGAGTGGTGGCAGAGTGGAGCTAATCCCAGTCTGCTCCTTTCCTGTGTTTGTCTGCCGCGGGCCCAGCATCCAAAACATCTTCCGAGTGGGAGCAACATGGGCCGGCGATTCCTCGACATGTGTGGTTGGGTTGGCGAAAAAAAGCGAGATGAAAATAATCAAGTTTCCGACAAACATCAACATGACGCCAAGATAAAAAGCTTCCAGGATGCGCTGGCATCGCTCAGCCACTGCAGGACAAGATAAGACACATCATCAGGAGCAGCAGCGGGGTCTGCACTGAGAAAAAAATCATGGGTTAATTTTACAAGTGTTAGGATGGTGGATCAGAGACCCCAAAACTATTTATTTATATTAAATACATTTATTTAAAACATTTTAGATAATTAACATTATAAAAGTCAAAAATAGAATATCCTATAACGCTATAATAATATAATATAATATTATATCATATGCCAGATAATTCCCACTATAATAGTAAATATTATTTATTTACTGTACACTGTTCCCATAGTTGAGTAAATATTATAATTTTTATGATGATATAATATCATAACATATTATATCATAACATATCATATAAATGTATCATACCATGGTATACTTCTTATTGTGTTCCTGAGACTTATATAATATATAAGTGGCTTCCATAAACAAATTCTTTTAACCCTATTTTAAATTTGTATTTTTTTAAACTTGTTAAAAAACTTTTTTTTTAAAAACTCCCAATTTTTCTAAGTGCAGTTGCAGGACTACAAGTTGGTCCATTTCCAGGACTTGGCTTGAAATTGGCTGGCTGCTGATGTTGCAGGGGGTGGTGCTGTGTGGTGGTGGGTTGAGTACCACGGTGGGTGCTTATGTGGGTGGTGTTTTCCCGGCCATGGGTTCAAGTGTCAGCCCTCGCCATCTTCCTTGGGCCTTGTGGCAGCCTCAAGTTGTGTTCGTGTTTGCTTTGAAAAGTATATTGGATTGCCCTAGCCACAAATACCCATATGTCTGATCATCCATCTATATGTATATATATCTTTATATACATATATCTGATATATCAGCCAGCTAACCAAAGGCCGTCTGCTGCTGACGTTGAAATTTTTCCACTCCTTTCGGGTTTTTTTTTTCGTTGGCCCCATTTTGCTTTGTTTTTAATTTCGTGTCTATACAAATATTTTCAATCGTTTGTGGTTCAATAATTTTTTTTTTTTGCTTTTTAAGTTCACAAACAAAGCCACTTTAAATGTTAAACAAAATTATAACTGAATTCGTCGGTGGCAAGCAGAAAAAAGGTTAGTTGCCCACACATGTCGAACACATGGAAGTAGATGGAATGGGTTAAGGAAGGGGTGGGGGAAGGCGTGAAGAAGGTGTGGGGAAGCGGTGAAAGGGGGTTAGGTGGTTTCAAGGGAGAGAATAGAGTGTGGCGCTGTTTGAATTTCTGCTGAAGTTAACATTTTTATAATTCCATTAAGCGGACGGTAGTGTCTCTCTCTCTCACTCACTTCTATCCCCTTCCCTTTCTCGTGTGTAACATGAGGATTTTCCCAAACACACACAAACCCACACACACAATGGCAAAACGGCCGTACAAAGTTGGTCCGAAAAGTTTTTGCATTCATAAATCATTTCCCTCTTTTTTCCAGCCTCACCTTCATTCCACGTTTAAAGGTGGAAAATACTTTTCGCTGAATTTGTAGTATTTCTCAGGGGCGGGGCTGCTCATGTTTCATATGCCATAAAGGGGTTTTTACATCGGATGGGGATGGGGTTGGGCCTCGGCAAGATGTGGGCAACGTTAAATTGCAACTTGTTGCCTGCTTGGTTACACGATGCCAATCCTCCCACTCGTCCTGGCATATCCTTGTCATTTTTAATTTATGCGCAGACCAAGCTTGAACTTTCGCAAAACTTAAGAAGAAAACTGTGGGTTGGGCGGAAAAAAGGGGGCTGGGACTTGAGACGTTGTATCTTGTTTTTTGCCCTTGGCCAGTAATATAATTGGTTCCATGATCGGGATATTTTTATCTAAATATTATTTGAGTTTTGGGAATAGGCAAAGATATGGACCGAAATAATAAATATTTAAAAAGGTTTGGGTAAATTAGGTTTCATCTTTAAGCCACACTTTCTTTTTGGCTTATTAGTTTGTTTCTTAAGTCAAACTAAATCTTCGTCTTCATTTCAGTAGCTTCAAAAATTTTCCTGCGGAAATGAGGCAAGAAAATGGGGAATACTCTGCTAACAAGCGTCATAATTACAGTTCAGAAAAACATGCTAGCACATATATGTATGCAGTTTTCCGCTGCTGCTTTTCCACCAGCCAACCTCCCCCCCCCCATTTTCTATTTTCCAACCACTTCAGCCACTCCTTCTCCGGTGACTTTTGCATACTTTTTTGGAAAACTTTTAATTTTCGAACTTTTGTCGCTTGCCTGGCATATGCTCCATGCTCTTTGCTCTGTGCTCCCTGCTCTTTTCCCCAACTTTCTACACTTTCTCCTCGATTGGCCCAATCTGATGACGTCTTATTAGGCAAATGAAAAGCTGCAAAGTTTCTCCTCGAGAGTCACTCGAGCCAGGGGACTTTCCAGAAGGACTCGGGATTTTCTTAAATATCGTTTTGAATCCCATATCCTTTTCCCTTCCTCTCGATTCTTTATCGCTTTGTTTATGAAAGTCACCCACTAATTGCAAACAAATGTTGTTGGCAGGGGCGTGGCAAAGGGGGGAGTGTTAAGAGGGGTTCGGGGGAAGATAAGCGAGCGGGAAATACATGTGGAAAAGTTGCCTGGAAATCTTAAGGCACTGGTAAAAATAATTTACCATACAGTAAGATTTAATTATAGAAATATAAGTTGATAAAAACAATATTTAAAAAAATTAAAAACATATCTCATATACTTAAACAAAAAAGAATTAATATATTTAAAACAATAAAAAGTTGTCTGGTAAAAATAATTTACCAAAGAGTAAGATCTATTTACAGATATATAAGTTAAGAAAAATAATATATTGTATAATTTGGGAGAAAAAAAGTTTAATATATACAAAATATTTTCACAATAACATACAAAATCAATTATTTTTCCCTCAGTGTATGGTGTGCATTCATGCATGCAGCTGCTGCTGCTGCGGTGGGGGCGTGGCACCGGCGTTGAGTGGGCGTTTCGGACATATCGCTTCGTTTTTACCCGGGCAACAGTACCGCATTTGCATTTATATGCACATCCTTTGTGCCCAAAGGATATTACATTTTTCCACTTCAAGCATTTTTGTGAATTTAATGAAATTTTTAATTTTTATGCGCGCCCGATGGGCGGTGATGGTTGGGGGGTGGGGGGCGTGGCAGCGCCTCCTTTCGCTTGGACTAACAAGCCGCAGAGATATGCTGCATTTGCCTTGCATTCTCGTCGGGTCCAGTGGGTAACTTTGCACAAAGATAAATAAAAACTGGTCCTAGGCAGGGGAATACCCCTTTATCCTTATCCTTTGCTCAACGCCACACTTGTGGCAAAAATGGGGTAAAAAAAACAAACGTTGAATTGGCTTTTGGTTTGCATTGCGTTTTACACTGCTCTCGGGATTGCGGCCACTCTTGTGATGATTGCTGCCTGATTGCCAAGCATTCCATGTTTTTTTCTGTTAAGAAATAAGCGCATACAATTATAGGAGCTCTGAAAGATAACATGGTAAAAAACTATAAAAAAAGAATCTTGAAATTAAACATATTATAAATGAAATAAATTATACGAATTCATAAATAAATACTATAAAATATTGTAAAAAACACAGAGTACATTAGGCTTTGATATTTGGGGATCTATTTTTTTTGCTAACATATAATTAAATCATTAAATAAATTATAAGGAGGTGACACAGAACTAACTTGGGTTTTGAAGTTACTTTCAGCTGTCATTAATTTTAGATCACTAAAAGTATGCAACAATATATTTTAAACTCAGAAGTACAACGAATTTTTTCGGAATGACGACTATCCTTTTTTCACTGCATACTTTTAGACAACTAAAATGGCATAAAAAAATGTTCAAAATCATTAAAACCCCCAATATTATAAAGTATAGGAACAACGTTATATTATATGAAAGTTAATTGTATTCATGAATTACAATTGTATTCTTTACTTCCTTACAAACGTCTTTTACATCAAATTACCAATTATGTTAGGCATAAACTTCATAATATAAAAATAATTTAACATATTATATTGTAAATTATAGGTATTAGCAATAGTAAAATATTATAAGCTAACTAATTGAACTCATTCTTTGTTAAGAGACTACATAAAAACTTACAAAGGTGTTTTTTTCCATCTTTGCCAACATCTCTTGGATCGAATTCCCATTCATTTTAAGTAATAGCTTCCGAAGTGGTACCCTCAACATTAGACTAATTAAATGTACTGACAAGATCGATTAAAGTGGCTAATTAAGCATTAATGAAAAGTCGCTTATCGGCGATTGTGTTGAAGTGAAAGTTTACCATTAGGAAAATTAGCCAGCGCATTTGCTCATGGACTTGCAACTGCGGCGGGTAAATGTTGCGATATCTGTGGCTTCTGATGGGACTTCAAACCCTGGCGATGGGTGCACTTCATCCGCCGGAACCGGAAGCCATAGTACCCCTGGTGGCAGCTGCTTTGAAAATTCTAGAGGAGCAGGTTAGCCCCTCGCAGAGCACCCTGGCGGTGATGGAACTAATACGAAAGGATGAGAGCAGGGACCATCTGCAGGAGGAGCTGATGACCACGATCCTTAGCGAGGTGGGCATCTCGATGGCACTGCGGACCTTCCATAAACCACCCATCGAAGTTCCGGCCAGCTATGTGGTTTTCCTGGTCAATTCCGCCCAGGCCTTCAACACCCTAAGCTTTCAATTCACGGATAAGCATTCCACGCGGGAATACAACTTCCTGATCCTGTTGACACGTCGCATGGCCTCGCGAGCCGATAGACTTCAGGTGCTAAGAGATATATCCAAAACCTGTGTGAAACTTCACACCCTAAATGTGATATTGCTCACCCAGAAGAGGAACGGAACGGTACTGATCTACGCCTATCGTATGTTTAACAAGAACTGCGATCTGAAAGTAAACCTGGAACTAATAGATCGCTTTGAGAATGGTTCCTTTATGTATGGTCACACGGCCAGATCCTTCGATCGAGGTCTGAGTAGTTTGTCGGGATGCCCCTTAAGGGTCAGTTGGTATCCACTAGCACCCTTTGTCTTCTTCAAGGGCAACTCAAGTGATCCGGAGGAGAGATCACAACTCTGGCGATTAAGCGGGATCGATGGTGAGCTCATCAAGTTGCTGGCGGAGATCTTTCACTTTCGCATTCTGCTCGAGGAGCCCTGCAATAAGTGCCTCTCACCGGATATCGGGGATAGTTGCAGTGGCTGTTTCGACCAGGTGATATATAGCAACTCATCCATACTGATTGGGGCAATGAGTGGTTCGCATCAGCATCGATCGCAGTTCTCCTTCACGTGCTCATATCATCAGAGTTCCCTGGTTTTCATCCTGCACATGAGTTCGCAGTTTGGAGCGGTGGCCCAGTTGGCAGTGCCATTTTGTGGCACCGTTTGGCTGGCCCTGGTGGTTTCCGGTATCCTGGTGGTCCTGGTTGTCTGGCTGCGAAAGAGGTTCGTGTGTGGCAACTCCGACTGGGCGAGCCATGCCCTACAGGTGTTGACCACCCTGATGGGCAATCCCCTGGAGACGAGAAGCCTGCCCAGAAGTTGCAGGATTCGCATTCTGTATGCTGCCTGGTTGCTCTTGGTCCTCGTACTGCGAGTCGTCTACCAGGGCAAGCTATACGACTCCTTTCGTTTGCCCTATAACAAACCCCTGCCCACCGAAATATCAGAGTTGATCAGGGGCAATTATACACTGATCAATCAGGAGTATCTGGACTATTATCCGCGCAACTTGACTGTCCTGACCAGAAATGGATCCAAGGATCGTTTCGATTATATCCAAGATCACGGTGAGGACGCGAGAGTTACGACCACCTCCCTGATTGCCTCCATGATGTTCTACAATCTGAGACACTGGCATACCAGTCGGTTGACCCACATTCGTGAGCACATCTTTCTCTACCAACTGGTCATTTACTTGAGGCGACATTCGCTGCTAAAATTCGCCTTCGATCGGAAGATCAAGCAGCTCCAGTCGGCCGGAATTATTGGTTATTTGGTAAGGGAATTTGATAGCAGCCTATATGCGAAACCCTACGAAGAGCACTACGAGGTGACACCCATTCCCCTGAACTCCTTCTGCGGTCTTTACTACGTTTCCTCGATTTTGCTAACTGCTGCCTTGGTTGCCTTTTCCCTGGAGCTGCTCAGCCTAAGGGTTAACTGGTTGAGGAGGTTGTTTGAATAAGGGAGTGATATATAAATGTATAAGGCAGAACCAGATGTATCTAAAGAATAAATAAAAACATTTTTTTTGTCATTTTAAAATGTTAAATAATCTATAATAATAAATAATAAATCTAATAAATTTAAAAAGGTGTCTTTTAAGGAACTATTGCCATTATAATTCGTATATACTAAGGCATAATATACTTGACTCAATTAAGTTCCGGTGTTTTATAGCATAAACTTGGACCTACTTACCTGCTCTATCCAGTGTAAAAATTTCCATTCTCCAATCTGGGTCCTTAAATTGCCATATGGTTAGCAAGTTGTAATACTGCCGCTGGCATTTTGGGTTATACCATCAAAAGACAATGGAACGTCCTCGTTAGCCGGCATATAAAGAGCAACAGCAACAACAACATGGCAACAAAATCACGAGGACTATGTGGGAGGTAAAAAATAAAAGGACAAAAACAAGACACGTCCGACATAGAACGAACTCATTAGCCTACATGGCCGCATTTTCTGCCTACACATGTGGCAGCATAAAAGGGGGGTTATACACTAGTGGTGCAATTAGTAGTACAGAAAATGTATTTTACAAAATCATCGATATGCAAATTAATCGATGAATATTAAGTAAGCAATTTAGTTTAAAACAATAACCATAAACTATGGTGAAATTCTTTCATATATAATTTATATAATTAAATCAGCTATTTTCTACACACAATAATACAATTCAACAACAAATTTTAAAAATTAAAATCTATCGAAAAATTATCGATGACATAAATTAAATTCAAATAATCGGAGAAAAATCCCGAACATTAAATATATAATAATAATAATTATCACATAATAACTTTGTGAAAAGCTAGCTTAGTTTTCAGTCTTAATATTTTGAAACCGGGTGTAAATGGGTCGGGAAAAGGGGGTGTGCGGTCGGGGGCTGAAGGGCACTGGGGTCCCCAAATGGAACACAAATGCGCTCTGGCTTGTTGCAGCCGTGTGCTTTCCTTGTTTCTACATATTTTGTTTGCTTAAATGCCGGAAGTGTTGCAGGCCACATCAGAAGTGGGCGTGGGCGTCGCCCACCTTAACCCCTTTAGACCCTAAAAGTGCCTGCAAGCAACAAATGTTGTCAGCATGTAGCAATCAATGTTTGACATAAAGGTCATAAGCCACTGTCAGCATACTCTAAACACATTTTTGGAAATATTAGGTTAAAATATTGGACTTATAAAATAAAAGTTGGAAAGGAATTTATTTTATGTAATAATTAACTGATAAAGGCTATATGATAATCAAATGTTGTTCTTAGTATTTAAAAAATAATTAATTTTAAAATTATTCAAATTATACCATAAAATTAATAGTAATTAGTTTATATATTTTTTTGTGCTCTATATTTGAGTTGGGTTAAAATTCATGAAAATATGCACTTTTTATATACTTTGTATCCATGTAAAGTGACTTACAGATATATATAAAGACTTATAGTTGTCAGGAAAACTTAGAAATATGAGCGCTATGAGGTGAATTTCGGTGATTAAAAATGGAACACTAGAATTTCTCCCCATCCTCTTTAAAGAACATTCCATATTCGTTACTCTATTAGCTTGTAATATGATTTCCGGTTCTGTTGTTCAACATTTACCGGCTACTAACTCTTAATTATGCCTTTTAGGGCTTAGCAGTCTAGTAGTTGTCATTCGACACACAAAAGTCTGGTTTGCATTGAAGAGATGTGCCATGCCCCCTATTAATTGCGTCTAATTGCCGACAAAAAGGTGTGGGAGGGGTAAACACCTAGTACCTTTTTATGGAGGGACAACATCCAGCCAATGGGCGGGCACTTCACACCCAGTGGATTCCGGTGAGACTCCGTGTGATAAGAGCTGATAACAAAGGTAAACAAAGCCGTCGCCAGATGGATGCCCTGATGCCCTCCATCGGCGAGTTTGGCGGGAAACGCTGTAATTCGTCAGATATTCTGCCGCCCAAGGCGCATGCGTTTGAAAATCCGACATTCAACGGTCGTTGGAGCGTCGTTTTTTGTTCCCACATCTTGTGTATAAGAGTCACAAAACCAGTATCCAAAGTCTGACACAGAAATACCGGGAAATTTATGCGAGATAGCAGGCCAAAAGCGAAGGTTTGGCCCGCCGCCGAAGATCAGGATCAGCATAAAATTATGTTTAATGAGAAGCCAAAAATATAATCCATCTCAAGGTCTTGCAGACAACAGTTGGATTTTTTAAAAGTGCAAATTATGCCTAATGAGCAGCCAAAAATCAATTCTAGCACAAGGTCTGGTAGACTATAATAGAATATTTAAAAGTGCACTAGAAAAGGTTTTCTCATAATAATATTATTATGACAATTTAATTTTTTAAAGGATAGCAGTAATAATAATAAAATAATATAGAACTTAATAATACCGTGTAATTTACCAAAAAAAACCTGCACTCTTTGAAACATCTAAAAAAAATTCTAGGATGTAAACTCCATAATGGAAAATCCATTGCATATCTATCATATCATTTGTAATATGAGCTAAATAAATAAAAACAATGTTTTTTCTCAGTGCACTTCAATGGCCTTGCTATTTTTACCATAAAAGACAACTGCAATTCGAATTGCAGCACAGTTGAAGCCCTGTAGCGAAGTTACCAAGATGCTGAAACAATCTTTGATCCTGATTCTTATCCTTTTGGTGGCCGTTTGTTGTTTCTCAGCGGAATTGCCCGGAAATGCCTACTTGCCACCGTTAAGGAATGAACATCCAGTTCCAGAGGAATCCCTACTAGCAGACAATGGATTTCTTTTTGATATTAACCAGGATTCGTTCGAAAGGTATGCCCCCATCTTTGTGGACTATCCGGGGATTCATCATCTTCTAAGACAGCAACAGGAGTACGCCTTGGATCTGCCCTTCGAGGGAAAACCATTTGAACGAAAAATTCCAGATATTGTTCATGATTCTGTAGTTAAAAGACATTGGTAGACTTTTTGTAAAACCATTTAACAATAAATAAATGCAAAGATCATTAAATACAGAAGTTTAAAGTTATATACTAAGGAAATATTGTGGATGGTGGTTATGAACATTGTTCTTATAAGTTGTTGATAATATGTTAAGAACAGGCATTAACCACTTCGAGGGAATTACTTCTCAGCTAGTTTGATTTGCTATCAACTTTGAATACACTAACTTTGGTACATTTTCTTGAGTGACCTTAATTTCTGGATGAGTTTACAATGAAACGTGTGCAACTTTGACTTTCCGTCAGTGGAGTGCATAGCCGCAACTTAATCCCCGACCGGTCCTTAGCCGTATCAGAAACTTTTAGACCGATCCGGGTTTTTGGCTTGGACCCCCTTTGCCCCTTTGCCCCATCACCCCCCCACTCCACTACGCCCCTGGCTGTGTGTCTGTGTGAGTCAGTGTGTGCGGTTTTAATCAAGTTTCGCCACTTAAGTTTGTGCTCAGGTGGAAAACACTCAAAAGCCGCCTGACCGAACCGAACTTCACTGAGCTGAAGCCCCCTTTTCCGCACGCCCCTGCCAAAGTTTCAAGAGCTTTGCGACGCGTTGCTGGTGAGTTTCGTTTTTGTTTTTAATTTTTGTTCAGGGCTTGTGTTCTGTGGGTTTTTTGATGCCCCTTCTACGGGGTCTATTCGGCAAAGAGTGGATGGTTTTTGGCCATTGTGAGTGGGTGAGTTGGTCAACCTGTTACACATCTGTTTCGGTGCAGGCCATTGTTTACCCCCCATCTTGGTCCCAAAACTATGTAGCCTCACTTTTGGTGGAACTTTAAAATCAATTAAATTGAGTGCCAGCATGATTGGGCAAAATGATTGTGGTGCCATTAAATAAATTCCATTATGTTATTCATCAAAAGGTTAAGAGTCAATGGAAAGGGTTTAAGAAATTTCCAGGAATATTTCCTGCAGTTTTTAGTTAATATGAGTCGTTTTCTTGTGTAATACAGTTTTTTCATTGGTGGAAAATTAATATATTAAGGTTTACTCAAAATAAAACATTTCTTACTTAAATCCTCTTGCTATTAAAAACATTGTAATTACAAAAAAAAATGTTCTTTAAAAATGATAATAAGAAGTATATAAATGGTGTCTGAAGGTATGCAACAATATATTTTAAGTACGCAACTTCCATAGTTTCATTCCGAAAGCACATGTTTCTTTTGTATTTTAGGTAAAGGAAACATTTTTTTAAATATACAAAACAGTTTTATGAGGAAAACGAGCTAAGAAAGCCAAAAAGAAATATAAAAAACACCCAAGTTGCTCTTATTTGGTAATATATCTACTTATGAAAATTCCCCAGACCACAAAATCCAAATTACTGGCCTCAAGAATGAAGCGTAAATTCGCATCCGGCCACATGAGTGTGTGTTAGTGAGCCAAAGTCAATTGTCAAATTGACACACACGCACACACACATAGACAGCGACATATGCTGGCAAGTGCATGTGTGTGTTTGGGTGTGTGTGGCTGTTTTGTTGTTAGCTTCATTATTTGCCAAGTAAAAGTAATGAGACTTTTGTTGCCTTGTTGGGTTGCACATGAGTGCGCCTTCTATGAATTCTTTGTGTTTGCACACACACACACACAGCCACACACTCACATAGACAAGCACAATGCGTTTGCAGAAAATAAGGTTTCACACACACACAAACGCGCGCCGAGTATCTGTGTGAGAGTATGTAAGCGCTGGCCTTTTGTGTATTGGGCAAACAAAAGCGCAAAACCGTTGACAGACAGTGGGTCGCACAGTGGGTTGGCAGACAAAAAGTGTGTTAATTAATTATTGGCAAATATATATGTTTACCTAATTTAATAGGCAAAATACCTAAAAAGCCAGAGAAGTAAGTTCAAGAATCAGAATGAGTTAATGTGTTCTTAAACCCATGTTATAAAAAAAATGATTTATTTTTTGTGAATTAACCACGATTTAGCACATAGACTTAATATAAAAATCTAAAATTAAAAATCGAAATTCGGAAATTATGATTAGGTTCGCACTAAGCAAGTGTTTCTCGAAATTCGTACTCAAAAAATATACTATTTCGGTTACAGATGTTTAAAATCACCCATAAAAGCTCCAAAAAGTATGCTATGTTTTATTTTGAAACCAAATACACCTTACTACCTAGAGATTTTTTTGACAAACCAAGTATTTTACAGATGATTTTGAAATTTTTCCTCAGTGCAGATCACCAATAACCATTGCAGGGAAGTAAACAACGTAAAAGCATTTGGCAATGCAGGAAAGCAGTGGGTTTGGACTGCAATTTCAGTGGATAAGTGGCCGGGGGCCAAAAGGCGTTAGGAGCTCTCCTGGCTGCTGGCCAGTTTGCGATAAGAACCAGCTTCAGGTTCCCTTCATTGGCCCAATTCTCCCTTTGGCCACCGAAAAAGTAGTTGCCATTTGGGCTCTGGCCTCATATTACCGATAGAAAATAAATTAATTTTCATAATAATTGGCTTACTCGTACTCCGCTTAACCCGTTCGTCGCCCAGGAACCAATTCACTGCATTGCCCCGGGGTTTTCCTCGCCCCATTTTGCAACCCTTTTTCGGAACTGGGCGCCAATAATAATAACATTGTTAACACAACGTGCGCATGTAATAAAATCGTTTATTGAATTGGCCATAAATTTTCGCAGCTACAACAGCCGCAAAAGGCGCACAAAGTCAAAAAGTTGCAGTCCACAGGGGGCAGTGGGGTGCTAAAAGTGTGGGGCAGTTGTGTGTGGGGGCAATAGGGGGTTAAGGGGATTTATCCATTGAGGGCTTGCCTTTTGTGAGAAAGTTTAGAGGGGTGGGAAACTCGTGGGGGAAAATTCGAAGGGAGGTTAAGCCTTGCCTTGTGGGTTAACCCATTGGTGGTTGGGTGAGTATCTCCTTGCCTGTGTGCTTCACATACATATATCGTTCACCTGTAAGCTGCAGCTAATTCAACTCAACTACTAAAATGCTTCAAGCATTCAAGCAGTCGAACTTGAGGATAATGAGCCTTAATGAGCTTAAGTAATTAAATTTGCAGCCTGGAAGTGCTTTCAAGTGGGTAAAGTGATCTTAGGTAAGCTTAGCCCGCGGTTTTTTTGTTTGCCTTAATTTAATTAATTTACGGAATTTATTTTGGTATTACCTGCAGTTGTGTAAATATTATAGTCTATTAAAATATTTCAACGATTTATTTAACCATCAGGGCTTGTCCTTATTCTGACCATTAAATTTCCTTTCTTCTTCTCGGCCTTATAGCACCCTTAGGATTTTTAATTTTATGAATTAGTTTTTGTATTACCTGTAGCTCATTAATTTCTATATTTGAATTTAATACTTTAAAGATTTATTTTAACTCCAGGGTTTTGTTTCTTTTTTCCCCATTAATATTTCTTACGTAGTAAGACGTAAATACTTTTTTTCGGCTTTATAACACTATTGGTATTACCTACAATTGTGTAAATTCTATATTTTAATTAAATATTTTCAAGCTTTGTTTAACCTTCAGGGCTTCGTTTCTTTTCTCCCCATTAATATTCCTTACGTAGTAAGACTGAAATTCTTTTTCTTGGCTTTATAGCAGCCTTTTTCATTTGTAATTAGGCAGGTCTTTATCCCCTCAATGGGATTTTCTGCGCTGTGATGTGTGCGAATCCAGTGGAGGACAGTGCACATTACGTCCATTAATTTGCGCCAGCGTTTTAACTACCAACATAAATTGCATGTAGCGTCATTAATAAGCATAAAAGCGTCTTCGAAAGGGGGCGGAAAAGCGGCTCCTTGGTGGCCACTTCGGTTCGCCGAAGGACGCGCTTAAAATGTTTTCGATGCTGTTCAATAATTTTCCCGCCAAAGGACAACGACGCACGAAAATGAGGACGAGGACGAAGATGCGACAGCAGACTAATGAGCTTGATAAACGAGCCGAGACGATAAGATCCTCTTACTCCCCGTCACTTGTTTGCTTAAAAAATTGCGCGCTCAATGAAGTGATGTGTAAATAACGGTATTATATTTCAAAAGGCACTCATCTCGTTTAAGCTTAACTTTAACCCAGTCTAGCCCCCCAGTCACAGTCCCCTTTTATAATTATTGTAGGGATATGCAACAGGAAGTGTAGAATGCGGCTGGCACTAGGGAATGGGGGCTTATCTCGCCAACTGGTTCAAAGGACATTCCGCACATGAGGACTTGCCAATGGTGAATAATGAATGGGATCAGGCAGGCAACAATAGACGGGCTGCCAATTCCCCATACTCCTCCCCGTCGTTCACATTTTTCTGCTCCCTTTCTCCAGCTCATTGTGGGATTTTTTCTCAAAGTAGCCTATAACTGATGCACTTGGGAAAATGAATAGCAAAAAAAACAGCATAAAAATATGCTGTACAGATTTTTAAATATACTTCTCTATGTTTTCTGAAATTTGAAACTTTAGAGTGTATTTCATAAAAATATAGGTCCCTTATTTCAGTTTGCTTTTCTGTTTTTGTCTGTCCTTCTCTATATTCATCTTAATCTATTAGCCAGTGTGCCCAAATTCGTATTTAAGTTTTTAGTGTGACCACCTTATACAACTTTCATACAAATGTGCCCATTTCTGACAGTGTGCCCACTTCACTTTACTTTTAATATGTTAAACTGCGAGAGTTGACGACGCACAAAAGTGCGGCATGCCAAGCATGTGGACCATTACACCCCAACCCTTAGCCCCCTCCCCCACCACCAAATAATATGGAGTTCATAAAAAAATGTAAAGAAGCGAGAACAGAGACGGGGGCATCGAGAATGTGAGCAGGGGGGGCAGATAGGACACAAAGCAAATGCACAAACTGTAAAACTGTAGCCAAGCACTTTTTGATTTATGGAGAGCCAAGCGGGACTAGGTTAGACAGAGTGGGCAGAAAAAAAGGGGCGGCGGTCGAGGGGGGTTTTCTATGAGAGAGCGCAGTTTGGTCGGAAGTGTAGACAATTTGTT